GGGTCTCACTAACTAATATATAAGTTTACGTGGGACATTTTTCTCCCCCCACATATTATAATGCAATTTCTATCCCTTTCATATATGTGTATATTTTAGAAATCATTTACAGTAGTTGTTCTGCACATAGCTTTGGAAATATCTTTAGTGTTAATTGTCCCTCCCCATATTTATTCCCTTCACTCCCATTCTAATCTCCCAGTTAATTCTTTCCTCTGGTTTTCTCTTTATTATTTTATAACACTATATTCTATTGTTCTTCCCCTCCCCACTCCATGGCTATTTACCAGCTTCTTAACCTCCATGGTTGTAATAAATGAAACACACATATCTAAAGCTTAAAAGAGGCTATATGCTATAAAAGAGACAATTCTTGTGTTTCTAAATCTGGGTTGCCTCACTCAGATTGACTGTTTCTGACTTCATCTCTTTACCTCAAATTTCATTTTTCTTAACAACTAAATAATATTCTATTATAAAAATGTATGACATTTTCAACACATATTCATTATCTTGTGGATATCTAGGATGCTTTCATTTCCTAGAAATTATGAATATGACATCAGTGAACATTGATAATCCCCGTTCACACTGATTTTCATAATAAATATACATATATATATATATATTGTTTCTTTCATTTCTTTAAGAGAATTTTTCATTTCATCTTTAAGGGCCTCAAATATTCTCCTAAGGTTAATTTTAGGTCATTTTTTCTGCTTCAACTGTACTGAGGTGTTCAAGTCTTGCTGTCATAGTTTTTGTTGGTGTTGTGTTGCTCTTTTTGGTGTTGAGTGTGTTCTTACCTTGTCTACCCATTTTTCCCTCTGATTGGGGTAGTTGGGGCTGTTTATCTGGTTATCATTCTTCCAGGTGCCAGTAGAGACAAAACTCAGATGATTGTTTCCCATGGTGGGGTTGAGGCCATGGTTCCTGTCACCTCAGAGGTCACTCAGAGTTCCCAGAGGTCACTTGGCACTCCTAGAAGTCACTACGCAATTCTGAAAGACTTTAGTCCTACTCCCACAGAGATTGCTTGCTTGGGCCTGCTCCCACAAAGATCAGTTGCTCAGGACTGCTCTCCTGGATATTGCTCTCTCATACCTGCTCCTGTGGAGGTTGCTGGTCTACTAAATGTTGTAATCTTAGGAAAACATAAGATGAGGTTCATCTTAGTTCTGGTTTAAGATAAGGTACAGACCATCATGGCTGTGTGATAACAGCACATCTATAGTTAGGAGAAACACAGATAAATTCTTGGGCCCACGCAAAATCTACTCTTCACTTATGCTAAAATAATAGTTCATTGGAAGGTACCTACAGTCAGAGTGATCTTTCTCTTTCAAATGATACTTTCTAGATATAACTTCATAGATAAACTGAAGGTTTGTATCCATAGTGATTCTAAATCAATACAGGTTCAATAAAGACTAAGTACCCTAATGACATAAAAAGTACAAATAAAATGATTAAAAGGAACTATTGCTAATGTTTTTTTAGAAAAAAAAAACAAAAAATCATTTAAACACACATTTTTGAAGTAATGCTTTCTTTTTCCCTAGGAAAACAAATAAACAACAACAAAAATGCTCTTACAGAGAGAAGGGTAACTTCAGAAACCAGAATTAGTATGGGTTTTAATAATATAAGTAGTGCATTAAATGACTCAATAAGTATCATTCTAATGTTGTGTGTCATCCTTAGTCATCAGAGAAATGCAAATCAAAACAACTCTGAGATTCCACCTTACACCTGTAAGAATGGCCAAGATCAAAAAGACTGATAAAAACTTACGCCGGTGAGGTTGTGGGGTAAAGGGAACAGTCCTGCATTTCTGGTGGGAGTAAAAGCTGGTACAGCCCCTTTGGATATCAATATGATTATTTCTCAGAAAATTAGTAAACAACTTTCCCCAAGACCCAGCAATATCTCTTTTGGGTATATAGTCAAATGACGTTCAATTGTACCACAAGGACATGTGCTCAACTATGTTCATAGCAACATTGTTTGTTATAGCCAGAACCTGGAAACAACCTAAATGCTCCTTGACTGAAGAATGGATAAGGAAAGTGTGTAATTTACACAATGAAGTACTATACAGCAGAAAAAAATAATGACATCTTCAAATTTGCAGGCAAATGGATGGAGCTAGAGAACATAATGAGTGAGGTAACCCAGACCCAGAAAGACAATTATCATATGTACTCACTCATAAATGGTTTTTAAACATAATTCAAAGATAATATGCCTACAAATAACAATTCCAGACAAACTTTACAACAATGAGGACACTAAGAGAGACATATATAGATCTAATCTACATGGGAAGTATAAAAAGTCAAGATCACCTGAGTAAATTGGAAGCATGGGGACCATGGAAGAGGGTTGAAGGAGAGGAGAGAGGAAGGGATGAGAACAGAGAAAAACATATAGCTCAATAAAATCAATTAAAAACATTAAAAAAGAAAAAAGAATTTTCTGAGTAAAGAAGTAAAAAGAATATTCCTCAAAGAAGTCACATAGTTCTTGGTGTGTCTCTGTGTGTGTTTGTGATTGTTTAGGTGTGTGTGTATGTGTGTGTGTGTGTGTGTGTGTGTGTGAGAGAGAGAGAGAGAGAGAGAGAGAGAGAGAGAGAGAGAGTAGTTTAAGTGAACTTAGCCCACATGGGGTGATGATGATCCCTCAGAATGGGCTAGCTAACAAAACCTCAGGGCTGGACATGGAAAATCTCCCTTTCAGCTCTCAATTAGGGATTCCAAGAGATTCTCTCAAAAAATATAAGCTATTGATATTTCCTAGAATGTGAAAATAAGACCTTGTTGATGAAGGTCTTATACTTCAGATACAGAACTTGGAGAAATAAAGCTGGTGATGACCTGGAAGCCTGCTCCCTAAGGACAAGCTTTTATAGTGTCAGAAGGTACTATGTAAGTAGCCAAGGAAGACCAAATTGAAAGACATATGTAATTTTGTAATACTGACACAAGTATTTTGGGAGAAACCAACAGGGTCTCAATAGACTTAAGGTCTTCTCAAGAGGAGGAAACTTACAACTGATACTGTAAAGTCAGTCAGGAACCTATGGTTGGAGAGATCATAGAACCACAGGAGAACTTACTACTTCTGAATGTCTAAATCAATGTAGCTTCCATCTCTGTTCTAAATACTTATCCTTATACCCAAAGGTAACTGTATCTTACTCATCATCAACAAACGCTGCTTTTTGCATAAAATAGAGGTTACTACAGAGATTCACAATTTACAGTGTATACCCAGCACTAACTGGAACATCTATAACATCCTGGAATTTTGAGAACTATTACTTCATGAATGGAATAACAAATTACACATGGATACAAAATCTTGTGGGTTGATTTATATACTAATGAACTATTTGAACATTAAAAATAAAATTATGAACATTATATTTTAATCGCATGTGAGCAGATACCTATGAAGGCCAGAAGAGACCAACAGATCCTTTGAAGGTAAAGTTACAGGAGGCTTTAGCTACCCAATATTGGTGGCAGTAACCAAACTCATGTCCTCTGCAAGAACAGTGCACACACTTTAACTGATGAGCTACCTTTACATCCCTCATTATCTTAATACTATTATATTGATGGTACTCTATTTACTTTGACAAACATGGTAGTATATATATTCTACTAAAAACTTTGAACAATCATAATTAATTGTATGGTTTATATATAAAAATATTTGGCAATATATAAACAAATATAAATATTTTAAAAGTTCATATCTAATGCTTTTATGCATTGGAAGTGGTTCTTGTTCAAAGTATGTCTTGCTATTTATGATATATTACTAGAAAAATTACAGGGTTCAAAATGGTCTAATGCATTAAAAGAATTCCAGGAAATCACTTTGCTTAAAAGTAAAGAATAATAATTAAGTCTACTGAATAAAAATGTTTCAGTGAAGTAGAACACACACATGTGCATGTGCATGTGTGTGTGGTCTCTTAATGCATAATATATTAATCTAGAAAGTAATATTATGCCCAATTAACTACCATAGCTGATAATTCAAAGCTTCAGCATATGTGTACAATTTATTCCAATGTTTGCTTGTTTTATTCAACCACTTAACACGTATTTACTGAGAAGCTATTATGAAACTCATAAGGTTGACAGTGTCAAGAATTCCATGTAATCATTGCTGATTTAAACTTGAATGTTTATAGTAATATTCTTGTATGTTTAAATGTTTTTATTCTCCAACATGTTCTTATAAATTATTGTTCCAAAATTAAAGCATGAATGCATTTGTTGTATGAAATGACTCAGTCAAACAGAAATTAGCCATTTATATAACATACTAGACTTATGTATCTTATCAATGATACATACCATCAAAACGAGCATTTTATTTTAATAATTTATCACATTTACTTAATTAGAAATTTATTTCTATTCTGTTGACACATCAATGGATTAGACTATGGCCACTTATCTAAATTATATATTTTTTAAAACTTACTTTATCAATATTAGACGTTTGAGAGGCCACCCTCACAAAAAAAAATCATGCTGTCTATTTGGGCATCCAGTAATGCATTCAAATTAACACATGAAATAACTTCTACAGTAACCATATTATATTTACCTCCATAAAATCAGCATATCCCTGTGTATCTGTATCATGGGAGACCTGTATAAATTTATTTCATGGACTCCTTTAAGTATTTGTCTTACATTTTCATTGACATGTGACAAATATACAAGCAAGATGAGTGAATATATCAGTGTGGATGAGGGTTTTGGGATCTTGACCTCCAGACACATTAGCTATTGTATTTCAGTTATGTCTTTCTAGGTATATAGTGTCCTGTTTTAGCAGAAATCAGTCACTGCATATACCAAAACAATCACCTTAGAACTTCAAAATGGACCACAAATGTAACTCAATAGATAAAGAAGATCAGAGAGGAATAAATCCGTGGTTGGCATTCCCAATAGTGTAGAAATGAAATTTTCCTAAAGATTAGTTTCTTTCCAAAATATGAATGTGTTCTTTAGCTTTAATAATGCATTCTTGACCTCTTTGTTTCTTAGACTGTAGACCACAGGGTTTAGCATTGGGATAACCATGGTGTAGAACACAGATGCAATTTTGTCTGTGTCCATGGAATGACTGGAGCTGGGCTGTAAATACATGAAGATGACTGTCCCATAGAAGATAGAGACTGCAGTAAAATGGGAGGCACAGGTAGATACAGCCTTGCGATGTCCTGCAGCTGTGCGCATTCGTAGGATGGTGATAAAAATGAATATGTAACATATCCAGATGACTATGATAGCAAAAAAGATATTGAAGCTCACTACATAAACAAGAAGCAGCTCGTTAATATGTCTATCTGAGCAAGAAAGAACCATAACTGCAGGAATATCACAAAAAAAAAAATGATGGACCACATTGGATTCACAGAAAGAGAGACTGAATGCGTCTCCAGTGTAGATGGAAGCATTTAGGAAGCCTAGGATAAAGCAGCCTATGACCAGCCATGCGCAAACACTTGGAGTCATGGTGGTGGAATAGTGTAGAGGCTTAGACACTGCTGCATAACGATCATATGCCATTGAGGCTAGCAAGTAGTTTTCCACGCTGGCAAAGGCAGTGAAACAGAACATCTGTGTAGCACAGTCATTGTAGGACATGACCTTCCTCCCTCTAAGAAGTCCAGTCATCACTGTTGGAGTAACAGCTGAAGAATAACAAAAATCCACCAGAGACAGGTTACCTAGAAAAAAGTACATGGGAGTGTGAAGCTGAGAGTCCAGGACAATCAGCAGAATCATCCCCAGGTTGCCCACCACGGTGATGGTGTAGATGAGCAGGAAGGTGATGAAAAGGGGAAGCTGCAGATCTGGGGCATTAGTGAGTCCTAACAGGAAGAAGTATGACACTTCTGTCCTGTTCTCCATCCAGCTCATTTGAGATCACTGAGTTCTCTGTGGCATAAGAACTAGAAGGAAAGAACAATAAAAGAAAATGATATGAAAACTGTAAATTATGTCTAGAAGCCATTGAGGTATGATTTCTGTCTTAAACTTCTTCAGAGAAAGCCCAGACTTCAGAATCAAGTTGAATGCACTAATTATATAGTGCTATTTATTCTACAAAATGAAGAATCCCAATAGATAATGTACAGAATTTTTAAACTTTATAAATTGAGATGTTGACAATTTAATAATTTAATAGAAATTACTTGTTTGGCTGAATCTTTTGCCAAGTAATCTCTCTTGAACTCAGAACAGATGATACTCCCATATAGTTCACCTAAGAACTGTTTGAACATATTTGAAGTATGTTTACTGCCTCTTCTTAAGAATATATAAATTTGTTTGATTGTCACTTTTATGTAAATTATAAGGTACAGGAGGTTAAGCAACTTATTCTAGTTACTAAACTATTGATTGGCACTGTTTTCTTTGGACTCATGCCAACCATTAAATGATTCTGTGTCTGTTAACTCTCAGTTTGAAATGAATTTAAATCACATCCAACCACCTGAATTCATAATTACTCTTTTGTCACCTTTCATGGAAGTCAGTATTTACATTTTCATAATGAATTAATAAAGTGACTGACCAAGTGGTAGTTTCATATTTTCACCATACAGTTTCCTTTCATTGCAAATACAAAAAAAAAACTCCAAATGATCCTTCTCTTAAAAGCAAAAGTGTTTTTAATGAATTTAAAATTTCTTAATTAGACTAGATTGAGATAGATAAAATATTATCACATAACAAAGTCAAACAAACAAGGAGATAATGATGGCTAATCTTCACCATCTCAGACAGATTTTCACCATCACCAATATCTTTATGTGTTGAGAATTCATAGTTACATCATAAACTTATGAATTTATTGAGTTGTTTAACTCTTGTGAACAGTAGTTTTGGAGGGATAGTTGGAGTTATTGGAATGAGATCAACCTGAAAATACAGTTTTTCTGAGTGAATGAATCAAGTGGTTTGGCAGAGACACTGCTGAAAAAGACAAATATTTGAGCAATTACTTTCTATGTCAGAGTCACTGTAGCCCCATTTCTGTGACCATCATTTTCCATCCACAGAATAAAGACAGTCACCTTTATGTAATACCCAATTTTAATTCAGTACATAAAACACATATGGCAGGAGTGTGCTGGATGCCATCAAACTAGTATTAGGATGGGGCACGGGACTTCACATTAGTTAGAGCAAGGCAAATACTAAATTTAGTACAGGGCTTCACTTGCATGTCCATCTTGAAGTCTTGAAACTTCATTTTCCATTTTGTCTTTTCTCCCACATTCCAGCCACTGAGTATTTCAATGCTCTCTAGGGTTTCTCTACCTTTACTCAAAAAATAGTATTGTCTTTTTATATTTTCATTTAGAATATGTTAATTTTTCCTTGAAGTCTGTATTTTACTTTAAGAGCCATGACCTCTTAAAATCCATTCTTTATTTTATTAGTGGTGTAAAATAGACTAAATTACAGATCAGTGGTAAAATGTATTTACCACAGATCTATTTATTTCAAAGCTCCATAGTTTTAAAAACAATTATTTGAAACTGTACTTCTACAGCAAAAAATATTATTTCAAATATTCTTTCTGTTTTGAAAACCCTAGTAGGATGTCTACCCCAAATTGACTACTATCCAAATTGACTACTATTATTTACCACTATCTTTATCAACAATCTTTAACAAGTTCATCTACTAGCCTGTCCTTGAAGATATCATGATACCCAATTTTAACACAAATGATGACAATTAGCATTTGCTACAAACATTAGTGAAAGAGTTCTTTATAATTCTTCCCCCCCCCCGTGTGTGTGTGTGTGTGTGTGTGTGTGTGTGTGTGTGTGTGTGTGTTAGGTATTACTATATACATTGGCAAGGAAACTTAGGATTTCAGAAGTTACACAGGAACTATAGGATAGGATCCAGGTTCAAAATGTTAAACAACTTTCCAAAAGTAAGCATGAGATTAAAATAACTTTGAAATTAAGCTTGAGGATTATTCGTTTATAATTTATTATGACCTTTACAGCTTGGCAAAGTTTCATTCTACCTTTCTTATTTTTATCTGTTTTAACTCTCAATGAGACGAAAGGTTATATAGAGCATAAAACCATTTTCAGCCTGCCTGTATTTAGTAGTTGAAAGAACTTCAATTTATAAATAAACCAATAAAGTCTCCATGATATACATTAAGACATTTGTGTCCTACTCTTGTCTCAATGTTTTTTAAAAAAATAGTCTTGAACATCTCATTTTCATATAACTTATATCAGATGCAGGCAGCTTGTAGTTGTATGAATTTCAAGTATGTTTCCCACTTAAGTTAAAACATACTATAAAAGCAAAGCATTCTGAGAAAACCAAAACAACATACAATACAAAACAATTTTAAAGTCATAAGATTAGCTACTTAATATTTCCACAATTCTATTATAGGTATTTCAACTTCTCCAATACAAAGAAAATTGGCAGAAGAACACAAGCATGAATCAAGTTTCAAATCAACATGAATTCTTTCAATTTTGTTGCCCTGGGAAGAATCACTTACCTGCTCCTTATTGGTAAAATGGGTATGATACAATTTCTTCTCTTATACCATGAGTATTTTGGCAAGTAATATGGAGTAGGTAGCTATTTACAAAGATGGTGTAATTCAAATATCAGTAACTTAGCAGTGAATATGAGCAATGTACATTATATCCATTTAGAAAATGTCTTCATGAAACTCATTATTTTGTATAATCATTATACACTGATAGTAGAAAAGTCCATCAATGTAACTTTTATATTTAGAAATTTCTTTGATGCAGGCTAAATTTCACAGCAAGACTTCAGGTAAGTAGAAGGCATTTTTTTATTCACAAGGAATTCAATCAGATGAGTAATATTGTCCAGTGAGTCATTCCCTGCAGGATGTCTTTTCTAAACAATGAGATTTGGAGTCATGTTGGGATTTAGAGGCCAGAGCGAGGGGAATTTAAGAGATTTACACAGATATGGTGAACTCTGGAGATTTCCCCATGAGATTACTTGAAGAATTCTTATCCAGATTTTCTAAGGAAGAGACAATTAACCTGCCTGCAGGGACCAAAAATGTTGTTATATTTTTTTTAAATTAAGATTTTTAACTGATAAATGAAATTGTGTAAATTAATGAAAAAACATGAGACCTTTCTTTTCTCTGTTTTATGTTTCATTAAAAAAATCTATTCTTTAACAAATTAATTATTGTATATTATGTGTTCTTATTACTCTCACCACATTCTAACTTGTCTTCCTTCACCTTCTGATTCCCAAAAGTTTCCTTTTCACATTCATGACTTTGAGGATTCATTGAGTTTGACCAGAGACTATGTGTGTAGCCTTAAGTTTGGAACTATCCATTGGTGCCTTCAGGACTCACCATTGGGCACACAACTGAAGAATATGATGGTCTATCCCCCAGAATCCAGCAATAGCCAAGAGTTCAGGGAAGTGTAGAGTTCTATGAGACCTTCCTCTAGCCATACAGACATTGAAAGGTCCAGTTCAGTGCAAGAAAGTTCAGGAAGCCACAACTATTGTAAGTTCACAATTGCAATGGTTATGCCATTCTGAAGACACTTTCCAGATCTCTCTGTTTTCTGGTACTCACATACATTCTGCCTCTTTCTCTGTGATGTTTTCTGAGCCTTTGAAAGAGTGAAATAAATGGCCTTTTTATTTTTTATTTTTTACTTTTTTTTTATTGAGAAATGGAGAAAAAAAAACAAGTTTCCACCTCCTCCCAGCCTCCCATTTCCCTCCCCCTCCTCCCCCCCTACGCCCCCTCCTCCCACCCTTCTCCCCCTCCCCCCACTCCTTTCCCCCTCCCTCTCCAGTCCAAAGAGCAGTCAGGGTTTTCTGCCCTGTGGTAAGACCTAGGACCTCCCACCTCCGTCCATATCTAGGAAGGTGAAAATCCAAACTGGCTGGGCTCACACAAAGCCATCACATTACGTAGGATCAAACCCCCGTGCCATTGTCCTTTGCGTCTCATCAGCCATCATTGTTCGCCATGTTCAGAGAGTCCAGTTTTATCCCATGCTTTTTCAGTCACAGTCCAGCTGGTCTTGGTGAGCTCTCAATAGATCAGCTCCACTGTCTCAGTGGGTGGGTGCATCCCTCGTGGTCCCGACTTCTTTGCTCATGTTCTCCCTCCTTCTGCTCCTCATTGGGACTTTGGGAGCTCAGTCCAGTGCTCCAGTGTGGGTCTCTGTCTCTAGCTCCATCCATCACCAGATGAAGGTTCTATGATGATATGCAAGATATTCATCACTATTGCTCAAGGATAGGGTCATTTCAGGTTCCCTATTCTCAACTGCCCAAGGAACTAACTGGGGACCTCAGTTTGGGCACCTGGGAGCCCCTCTAGGATCAGGTCTCTTGCCAACCCTAAAGTGGTTCCCTTAACTAAGAATTGTGGTTCCGTGCTCCCCTGTCCAACCTTCCTTTATCCCAATCCTCCTGCTTTCCCAAGGCCCGACCTCCTTCCCTTCTAACTTTTCTCTCCCCATCTCCCCTTACCCCCAACCCACCCCACCCCAAGATCCCAATTTTCTCCCCGGCAATTTTGTCTACTTCCCTTAGCCAAGAGGATAACTATATGTTTTTCCTTGGGTTCCCCTTCTTATTTAGCTTCTTTAGATTCACCTATTGTAGACTCCGTGACCCTTATTTATGGCTAGGAACCAATTATGAGTGAGTACATCCCATGTTCATCTTTTTGGGTCTGGGATACCTCACTCAGGATAGTGTTTTCTATTTCCATCCATTTGCATGCAAAATTCGAGAAGTCATTGTTTTTTACCGCTGAGTAGTACTCTAATGTGTAGATATTCCATACTTTCTTCATCCATTCTTCCATTGAAGGGTATCTAGGTTGTTTCCAGGTTCTGGCT